GCAAAACAGATGTACTTGAACATGAGGGTTTCATAGTCGCTACGGCCTAAATGACTCTCCATCGATACCGTTTCGATCATAAGCTCTTCATTGGTGAATAAGAGATCCAGGACACCCGGTTCGTTTAATGTCCTGAATCTTAGGGGAGATGTGATGTGATTGTAGAGTGGTAGTCCACTAATTATCTCCTGTACTTCCGTTTTAAAGTGTTCGTTGATACAGGCTGGGGTTTCTATGATATGAATATTGAAGTCACCAACCAGGAGAATGTGGCTGTACGACTGCGAGAGAATGGTCTTCATTGTGGAGGCTAGGCGGTTGCCCATTTCCAAAGTAGCCGACGGAAGGCGTTACACAACACCCAACAATCTTGCGTCCCCACGGCTTAGATGAGGACGACACCAAAGCGCATTGACAATCTGAACCTCTGGGTCATCGATGAGATCAATGTGTAGTTCGCTGCGATAATAAAGTACTACTCCACCTCCTCTACTTGGTCGATCGTTGCGTAGAATAGACATCCCAGGTAGTGCGATTTCTGCATCAGTGATCGCTTCATTCAACCAGGTCTCGGTTATCATAACGAGGTCCATTGACATTGAGACCTGAAGCAGGCGAAGCTCCGTCAGTTTGTTTAAAAGACCTTGTGCGTTGGTATAAAAACAGGAGAGTGATTCATAGGTTAGAACGTTGTTTGTGGATGTAGACAACATGTTTGAGACTTAACCGACCCTCTTGAGGTCGGCTGCTACCAGATTTTTTGAATTGGCAGGCTCGCAAGAATGAGTTGGGATAACTCTCTGCACCTTGATGATCCTGATGGTCACTCACCTCCTGCAGTGTCTCGCCGGATGCTATGACGGCAGTCAGATCAGTCTCTGTGGTGGACTCTGCAACAACGATTGTTCCCACTGAGTTGGTTCTCTCCATGGAATAACCAGTAGCCTCTGGTCGTAAGCCTGCTGCGTTTAGTCGAATTTCTGTTGGTAGCATGTTCCGGATGTTACCCCAGTTCTCTAGAACTGTCTGTAAAGTTATCTCAGGCGGTAAGACCAACTTCAGCAATCTAAGACCACACCCTTTGTAATTTGGTGACACGGGAATCCTGGTTAGGGAGGTAGCAATGACATTTTCTAAAGACAGCGCCTCACGAATGTATCGCCATTGCTTCAGGTCATGTGCCTGAACTTCTTCAGGAGATGAAGCTTGAGACTCAGGGACGCCATGAATAATGACGGTTTTCAGTGCGTGTTTTCTACTTCCCTGTTGATTGTTCATATCCTTTGAACGTTCTTTCCACGGAATGTCCGGTAAGGTACATACTCCGTTCGATGCTCTATGATGTCGATTTGCAGCGAGCAGAATGAATTCCGTTTCTTCCGCGGAATGTAGTGTTACTCGAAGTAGTCGAGGCTCACCATAGTGTAAGGTGTTTGGGTGTCTTGCGATGCGGCTCATCGTAGTGGGTTCAGCGCGCATGTTGATGGCACTACAGATGGAATCCCACTGACTACGATCGTCTATCAATTTGCCCTTTATTGTGTTGGATTTAGATTCAGGAACGTTAGTGCACACAAGACTTAAGGCACCATGATTCCGCCTTGTGGTTCGCGACTTAAGAGCATTAGGTTCTGTTGTTTTTCGTGGATTTGTGAACCGCACTGGCGATAGCGCTCCATGTTGAGGCACAGTTTTGACCTCTCCGGTAAGTGGAGTCACAGGTGTCTTTGACTGCGTTTTCCTAGAAGCAACCGCTGCGTAGGATGTCTAGTTATTTTCTTTTACCGTGGGCTTGCTGGAGTTTTGTGTTCCGAGTATGTCAACTGAATTACTAGTTACTACACCGTTGGAGAACGTAGAAGCAAGTGGGTTGTAAACGACTTTTTCACTTGGTGGAGTCATGTGGCTAGGGGCCGTTGGAGACTGAGACGCGATGGTGAGATTGGGACGTTTGGCCCTCTTCTTCGGCCTAAACGGGGAGTTTGTAGGTGTCCGTTCAGTTTCAAGTATAGCATTATTTACTTTCACAAATGCATTGCTAGCGTTCACCAGTTGCTCAACTGTTTCCGCCAACTTTTCACACTTTTTCATTAGGAAAATTACACAACTAACGACAGGAATGGATTTGCACACCTGGCAGAACCAAAATGCTTCGGTTTTGCTGCTGTATTGTCTATTTGCGAGTGCACTCATTCCTAAACACTTCGAATGGTACGCTTTTTGACAGTTACAGCAAACTGGACCAGACTTAACGGTTTTACACATATGTCACGATTGACTTACGAATGGGCCATATCCACTTGAGGCATGTACTTTGTATCGCACCCGAACTTCACACCCGAAATGGACTGCCATCTCGCGACTGCTCTAAGATACGCTGAAGGGATTATTGACATCTTGATCATGGGTGATTCCAACGTACATTGCTTAGAAAAACTTTCCACGGTCGGCGAACAATTCCAAGATGATCTGCAACAGTTCGGTACCAACGTTCCAGTTTACACCACGTTATTTTGCCGACGCGGTTTAAAACCGGTAACAGGCCACCTGTACTGGATCTTGTGCTTACCAAGGAGCAAAATATGATTGATGTGTTCGCCGTACTGTTGTTTGTGCCGCAGGGATCATGCGATTATTAGCTTCGACTTCGTCAGCTACGCAGAATACCGAAACGAAAAATAATAGACAGTACGCACCATCACATGCTACGACCGCTTAACCCAGCTTGTCATCGCCAGAACTTGGTCGTTCCTAGCCTGGCACCAATTCGTTAACAAAATCAGTTGACTAATTCCAGATGCTCTAGACAAGCGTTTGCGATGGGCCTAAATTTTGTGCTTTCTTATGGTGGAGAACTTAAAAACACTTGGGTGTACGTAGCCGACTGTGGTGAAAGCACAGATTGGCTTTAACCTAAGAAACTTGGGACAAATGCGTAGACCAACGTAACTACTGCACACAATTGCTCAGAGCGGACAAAGCCGTATATAGACAGAATATCGCGAACACCTTCAGCGCTGACCACAAACTGTTGTACAAGCACGTTACTGGACTTTGAAAGGCAAGGCAGGGCCGACGGCTTAAAGAAAACAACTACAGAAGCAGCAAACCCAATGCAGATGCAATATATGTCCCCATGTTTCAAAGGGTCTTGCCATCAGGCAACTTTGAGGCTTTCTTCGTCCCGCCGCCAGCACTCACCTTCGTCCCTACTGCCGCTGAAGCTGTATTAGACAAGCTGCCACCACTGCTCCCCGGGTGTCGCTACTATTCATCCAGAAGCACTGGGAGCAGCACCCTGACAACTAACAGAACATTCGGCTCATCGGTTCCAGAAATGGCTTGACCAGAACCAGGTCCCTGAAAGTTGGAAGCTTGGAATAATATATCCGGTTCACAGAGGTGGAATCAGGACTGAGGCTACAAACTACCAGCCAGTATCTCTTCTCACAATACTCTTCAAAGTCTTGGAGTCTGCCATTGTCGATACGCTGGTGCCATATCAGGAAATGAGCAGCACCATTACTGCAATTCACATGAGTTCGGTCGACAGCGATTGCGCAAAAGGAAGTTACTGAGAGCACGGATTACTTGGACCGAGTCAGCTGGCGCTGAAAACGAAGTCGATGTGCTTTGGATTGTTCGAAGTCATTCGAGCGTCTAAATCGCCGAATTATCCTCTCCAACCTCCAGTATTCCGAAATCAGGCATCCTCTCTTTGTCTAGACCGCCAACTTTCTTATTCAGTGGCAATTAGTGTTCAGAATTCGCAGCTCCTTATGAACCCCCATACAAATAGACTGCGGTGTACCGCAAGGCTAAGTACTAGAGCCTTGATTGTCTTAGTGTACGTTAATGACCGCTCAAAGGCCATCGTTTCAAATTCCTTACTGTTTACTGACGACATCACGATTCGGCGTAGGATTCAGGGGAATGTCGATCAACATCTGGTTCGAAGTGACTTAGACAAGGCACATCGGTGATCAAACCAAAATTTACTTTAACGTGAGTAACTGCAAGGTATTCTCCATACGACACCAGATCACCTACTCATACAAAATGGAGCGTATGTACTGCAATCTTCTTCCTTCGAACCTGATCCGGATTTGTTGGTTCAAGATGACTTACGTTGCTCCAGGCAATCCGAAATAGCCTCGAGGACTAGAAACAAACCCGTCGCCTTTCTGCGACCGGCCTTCGGACAAATAAGCTTCTCTATTTCCCAACTGATGCTCAGTGTATCTGTTCGTCCCCATGTCGAATAGGCAGTTCAAGCTTGGTGTCTATGGCTAAAACAAGACGTTAGCGCATTGGAGCAACCTCAACCTCAGCGATGCAAATACATCATTGGATTGCACAACCTCCCATGCAAGTAGAGGCTGAAACGAATGCGGGTGTTCAGGGGAGGATATCGCAGATAACGAGGCAATCTGATTATGGCATACTTGATACTGCACCATCTACATTATTTGTGTTGCTCATTAGTGCAATTCAGCAGCTATACTAACCTGAGAGGTCACACCATGAAACTAACAGAACAGCCTGCAGTGAAACAGCAATTTCTTTTATATTCGCGTGTTGCTCACTAAAAATCGGTCGTTTTTGCAGAGACACCAGCCATATTTAGCACCATGGTTTTATTTTACTCCTGAAATTTACCGCGTATTTATTAGCTTCCACTTGTTGGCGCAATGAAACCACGCGGAGTGCAGAATTATGGCAAAACAAACGATAAGTCCTGATGCTGATACTTAAATCAGTAACTGTTATTTATCAATTGCTTTTGATAAAGGGACGTTAACCAGTACTCCTTAACCGGTATAAAGCCACTTTTAATTATTCACTGACTGCATGAATTCATCGTCGAAAGTCCAGGCGGACACAACGAATAAAGTGTTTTAGCCAACTCCAAATCACTGCACTATCTTGATTTACTTCCTTGAGAAGATTCGGCACCTTCTTTCTTATTCCACGGCGAGTTCATTTAAAGTCACGTGGTGCGAACACCAGCGACTAACTAGTCGACAAAAATCCATAGACCTACTTCAAACTTTTGCGGTTTACCCTACCTGGCTCAGAAAATCAGTGACTCATGGCTAACTATGTGCCGAATACCAGAATACCTATGCTGAACATAATACAAGAGCTTCAAAATGCCAAAATGAATAACATGAATGAGGAAGTCGACATCCAGGTACCACATTACCTGGTAGATAGACGCATTTTAAAAGCAATTGAACTAAAAAACCGGAACTATCTAGAGAGTTACATGAAACAATGCCCGAGGAATATTGAGCGTTATTTCTTTCTTGAGACAGTGTCACCAACTTCGCCACTCATACGAAGTATTCTCGTGTCAAATTTACTAGGATTTGCATTGTTGTATCGGTCAATTCCTTGTCTGACTCTGCTACTCGAACTAGCCTCTGATCCCTTCCAAGCCACCTACTTCATTGAATATGTCACACAAAGTGAGGTGCAGAAAAAGATTGTAATATATGAGGCACCCGCTTTTGTCCTACTTTCTGGCAGTTTGCAAGAGAAATACAAGAAAGAATGCGTGTCAATGTTTATGGCGTTGCGCAATGCTGAGACGGAGCTTCATGTACCGATTGCACTGCGCAGGCAGTATTTCGAACCCCCAGCGGAACCCGCTTCATCCACCATACGGTTTGCGGATGCGTGGGAATGCATGGAGAAGGAAATAGAAAAGAAAGGCGGCGAAACAGTGCAGCAGAACAAGTTGTTACTGCGTGACCTAAAAGCGGTGTATCGTGCGAACAAATTTGACCGTTTGAGTTGATTTGTGGAAGATGGAAAACAGTCACAAGCCGGTTCACAGCCTCAATGCTTGGTTCGGTACCTACTTTTGGTTGACCTTGAGCCACATTGTACGTTCTATTTTCTGCTTTATTTGTAACTTATTTGCTTCAAATAAGAAATGAATTACACTCAAGCTGCCGGGTATATATGGATCTTTCATAAAGTTCGGAGTATAGTTAATCTTAATGGGGTGTCTAGAGAGCAGACACCGGTACTCGGTAGGCCTATGAATAACAGCACGCGCCATTCACACGGAAAGCACCCCTCTTCTCTGTCAAACGACACAAATGTTGTAAACAAATCAAAGTACTCGGAAAATTTAGGGGGCTGATGCAAGAAGCAGTCTGTCGGTATATTCTTAGTCTACGTAAAAATCCGTAATTAAAGGTCCTGGTCTATTCTTCAAACTGAACAATTTTGCTGCACACGTTTCAGCACAAGTAGAGATAAATTCGTCAGTACATACTAGGCAACTAATAACTGAAGTTGAATCCATAGTGGGATTAATATACGATGGCTGAACCCTAGGTACTCCTGTCGAGTCTCGTTGTGTACGCTCCCAGTCGGAATGTGTCGGCGAGCATCCAAAGTGCCAGAGCCTACGTAGAGTCCCAATGCCCGGATGGGCAACTTGATTTGCCAAATCCCTCTTCTCTCCCCTCTTCTTATTCTCTATTTCATAGGTCCTCATGGTTATATGGCAGCGAAGCATCAGTTCAAATGGCTAATGTACTGCTGTTGATGATGATGACGATGAAATGAAGACATACCTGCTGCTAGTGATCTCTGGCGGGTATGCGACTAGTGATCTTCAAATATGTTCATTGAGCGTTTACTCAGCCCGAACGCCAGCGTACTTTGATACGCATTTGGTGCATCTAGCTTCGCCAGCCTGCAAGTATCCGTGCGCTCGCAGAGTCGCCGCATACACCCACTGAAGCGAACTCCAAGACCGATGCCACATGTAGCACCGGCGCAACATCACGCTCGCTTCGAAGGGCAGAAAATACAATGATGTCCTTCTGACCATCCTGTGCGGTTTTGAAACCTGAGTCGTCAAATCGACAGAGGCAAAGAAGCTAGTTTGCGTTCAACCATCGCTGCCTTCGAAGGGTAGCTCATGTCTGGTGGGAGCACAGAATAAGCAAATGTGCGTATACCACATCGTATCTTTGGTGAAAAAAGAGTGAGTGGACCATTTAGTACCGTTACATCAGATGGTCGTACTACTTACAACTGATCAGTAGTCGCCTTAGCAGCTTGCATGCCACCTCGATTGGTCGCGGCTTGCAAAGGAAATCCTTGCTCTGGGGTCAGCCCTGTCCTCTGCACCTTCATAACATGTAAGACAGTGGAGGATGAGCTGCGCTATATCGCGGTTAAATATCAGTCATGGCGGTCCGCGGCGGTCGCCCATGGCTCAGAGACATAAGTCGCTGACTCGCAAAAGTAAGGTCGTGGGTTCGAATCCAGTAGGATTCGGCGGGTGCTTGCTACTGACTAGTCCCAACGGGACGAAACGGCCTTCTAACGCTTTCCTGGATGAGTGGTGACTGTCAGCCTGAGTCTAACTGCGACAAACATACACAAAAACCCAATAAATTCCCCCTACAAATTACAACTGAACTTCTTTCCTTCACCTAACAGCTTGCACAAAGGTGAAGCCAAGCTGTTGAAATTCCGACGAATATACTGTAATATCCGGCGCGGCCCAAAAATGCTCGAAGATTAGGTTTTTCGGTCCGAACTGGGGTGCCTCGAGCTGCCCATACTTTATCCGGCATCAGCTTGAGTTTGCCTTGACCCAACTTGTGACCAAGCACTGTCATTGCCACTTTCCTGATTTGGGATTTAGGTCCACTTAGCCGTAATCCCGACTGCTGAAGCTTTCACAACGTTGCTTCCAAATGACAGTAGTGTTGTGTCCGACCCATTATATACCATGACGTCGTCTCTATGAACCATCAGATACTCTAATCTCTCCAGTAGGCACATCATCATTTACTGGAAAGTTAATGGAGCACTAGACAATCCGAAAGGCATCTTTTGATATTTGTACCAATTGTCGCAGCCGGTAAACGTGGTCTTTTTCCGGTTTACTTACGTGATCTTCAGCTGCCGGTATCTAGATCTCAGGTATAGTACTGTGAATGTCCTTGAGTTCCGCAGTCTGTCAAAAATGTCTGCTTCTGAGGGCACCTGGAAGAAACGACGCAGCGAGATTGCCCTCAACCTACTATGCTCCATGCAAAAGCGGCACTTCATGTTGACTTACATCACCGAAAACTACAACGCACTCGTACGATCTGTGAGTCTCCTCAATTACACCTGCATTCAACATCTGCACCTGACTTCTCACCTCAACCTCCAGGGGAATTGGTATTCTTTTGAGTCCATGCGGTCCATACAACAGATTCGATGGCGGAATTGTGTTATAACCTCACTAAACGTGATGCCGAAAGTGGCAGTTTACTGTTCCACAAAACTTCTACCCCAACCAAAGGAAAAAGAAGAAGGCCAATGACCTTAACAAAATAACGTATTAATCGTCGTCAACAAACACTATACAACCACCGCGGATCTTAGCTGTATGTATAGGGCACTTACTGACCTTCGACTTCTGGAATTGGAATGTCAAATACCAAGGGTAGCGGTTCCCTATAGCTTTTGCCGTGGTGTCAGGCTGTTCGTAGTCATGTGTAAATCTCAGAAGGTTCCAGAACCTTCGAAAGCCATGCGATAATTGTTAGTAATCGATTAACTGACAAAATAGTGGGTTTTCTAGACAATTCCTGTTTTCTCCCGGAAAATTCCCTTCCTGAGATATTGTCCGACGTATACGATGAAAGCCTAGGATTATTATGCAGTCTTCGGGACAGTGTTCTCTGCCTGTCAGTCCAACTCCTTGGCAGAAGTGCCCGAGGACTGTGTTCCGATGTCCGTGTTCCGGATTCTTTGCTCTACTCTTTGCAGTCGTCCACTGCTTTCTTCGGCAAGTTGAAGCTTTGCACCAATAAGTCGAACGGGAGGTCGGTAGGCCTTGCTTGTTCTGGTTGGCACAATGTTGGACGTAGCTGGTTTGCGTGCGGTGCCCGCACTTGTGCACCCAAGACCACGTCATACACGACATTTCCGTACTTGCTTTTGACCTTCCCTGGGGTCCGTTTTGCGCGACCCTCCCGATTTATTATTATTATTATTATTATTATTATTATTATTATTATCAGTCTATAAGATAGACATAGAGCCGAAAAAACAAAGCGACGAAAGTAATACAGAGACCCGGTGCTTCAAGAGGAACGGCGACTTTATTTAGCATGAACATCAACAACAGCGCATAGATATTTTATATTACTGATAGAATCCGAGTAGCTCGCAAACAACCAACTGTATAACTTCACCTCCAGCACAATCCCCTCGGGTTTAATGCGGGTTTCCGTCATTCTTTACCACGTTCCGATGCACTGCTGGAAGCATTCTTCTACGATGCTCCTTAATACCAGCGTCGCTTAGAGCAATATCAATTGAGTATGAGGGCTGTTCTATTATAGTAATTTTTTCTCGGTCAGGAATCTCCGGGTGCCCGGAGCATTATGAGCTGGAGTATAGTCATGAAGAAGCATCCACGATTTGCTGTCAGTTATCGTCTGTTAAAACGCACTCAGCGAAGCAAACGTTTCAATAATAATGCAACAATAATTGGCATAAGTGCGACATAGTCAATAGTCAGGTTTGAAGTGCATGTGACCCAGGTGCAGTAAACGAAAGTTCATAATCGAATACGAAAAAGGAAATAACGCATTGCCAAACATATCTGGCGATAATTAACATGTGCCAAACATTTACAGATCACACAGTGAGGCTAGGGAGGGAATATTAACAGTCACTTCACAGTGGGAAATGAAGGGCCAGGTATCAGGGGGAGGAGTCTGCTGCTACAAAATGAACAAATTGGTGGTTTAACCGAGCGATCCATCTGTGCCTTTCACGGATGGGCGTGTAAAGTTTAATGCAATATCAGCAAACAATGCCGACTTTAATCTAATTATCCTTAATACCGACAACGCGCCCCGGAAAGTTGGATTGTTACGGTGTTGACGACACCTAAGGAAAATGTATACCTCGACCTCCCATTTAAGGGTAACCCCGCTTCAACGAGGGCAACCAAGCGCTTCCTCTACGTCACTCAGATAATGTTATGTGCTACAGATGCTGAGGTGATAAACAGAATCCGGAAATTGTCACTACTTTCAGCATAGGAAGTTGAACCCATCAGCGCCAAATCACACAATACTCACTAATCCGATTATCCCTGCTGCGTTAGTTAGATATACAAGAATGAGGGGGGTTTTGAATTCCAGAGTGAATGAACCCTGGACCAAATGGGTTCAAGGCGAGGTCAGCCATTTCGCGTCCAATATTCCGTGTGCACGCAAACGTGAACATGTTTTATTGACCCCTTATCTGTTTGACACCGGCTCCGCATTTCAGCCGCTATTACGTAATGCTGCTTCACGCTTATTACGGCTCGCGTAAGCCGTGACGACAAGCCAGCTAAGACCTGCCCTGTGAGTGCAGAAACAGTCAGTTTTTGACCTACGAATACCCCGGTCCTAGGACGATTGCCGCCGTTCATCTCACGGCATTACACTGATTGGGAACACTCTTGGAACGGTATAAGATAATTACTAGTTATTGTATTGGTACTGATGAGACAATACGAAATGTGTGCATTTATCAGTGATCGTCTCCTCATTGTGTTATTCAAACTATTGGAGGGAAATAACTGTTGTAAAAAAAACAGTTTATTTCTCGGCGGTGCGCGAGACTGTAACGGCATAGGGACAAAGCAATGCTGGCATGAATTCCCTGAGGCCGGTCACACATGCAATCATAGTGTAGCACTGATGCAAACCGAACTTTGGCGAAGTATGTGAATGGATGGTGTGTATCCATTCACACGGGAGTTATACTGTGCGGCCAAATTCGGCAACACGTAATGCCCCAGTTAAAACGCTCACATGTGTTCACCTGTGGCCATGGCACGCCATGCTACGTAAGGACAGGCTCTCAGGGCTTGTAGCAAGTGTCCATGAACAATGAACAATGAACAATGAGTTATCACGGGATAAAAGCAAGTGCTT